ATTATCTTGTACTTCTCTATCTAAATGTATTTGCCACGTCTTTTTAATTTTAAGTTGTATTATTTTATGATCACTTTTTGTCACTAATTCAAGTTGCTCCATGAAATATTCTATTATTTTTTTTTCCTATTGTGTGTGATCCAGATGGCATCAATTCGGCTCTGTTCTTGCGAATTATCTCTTTTCTACGTAAAACCGTTAGAATCAGGGTGTATGATTCTATAACTGTCAATTAAGTCTTTCCCTGTTAATATTGAAAAAATTTCACTCTCTGGGATGTTGGATTGGTTATTGTTATTTCTATTTATACTTGGCGATGGTACAGTGTTGAAGTCGCCCATTACTATTACTTTATGGTTTCGTTGCTATGCATTGTGAATTCAATTTTTAACTTGTATCAATGTTTCTTTGTTGTCTTTCTTATTACTTAATAAATATAATTGTATTATTGTAATTATTGTTTTCTTAGGTAGTACCAGGTTAATACTTATTATTCTTCTCTTAAACTTTTGAACTTTACATATATATTTGTTTAATTCTTTCGCAACAAGTATAGCTACACCTGCCTCCATTCCATCGGATAACTAATGTCCTCTATATTTATTTCCTTCTTCTATGAACCATTTTTCTTTATTTTCTGTACAATTTGTTTCTGCAATACCTATAATGTCTATATTATTTGTATTGATATAATTGATAAATAAGGCACACTTTACATTGTCATTAAAGCCACGCACGTTGTGTATCGCAATGTTCATTGTATTATTATATATTATATTATTTTTGTTTTTGTTATTATAACTAATATTTGTTTCTTTTGTTTTTCCTTTATTATTTATGTAAGATGTATTTTTGTTATTTATATTAATATTATTATTGTTATTCATATTTAATTATTTTAATAAGGAAATTTATTAACTCTATTGGTTATCTAGGGCCCAGTTACTATCTGTTAATTGTGTGTGTTGTTTATTATTATTTGAATCCTTTTTTAGCTTATTTCTAACGATTCCATACGACTTATCATTGAGTTCATTGTAGATAAAATTTTTTCCATTGGTATAGTTTTGTTTGATTTGTCAGGTGTTTTATTATTGTTAATCTCTTGTTCTTCTTCTTTGACCCCCATATTTTCATCTTCATCTTTCTTTAATTCGTCATCTTCGTATTGTTGTTGCATTGTTTCCCATAGATGATTTTTGATTCTGTCTAGGCGTGTGTTAATATCCATTAACATGTTTTCAATTTTTTCTAATCTATCTTCTTCTACTTTGTTATCACTTTTAATATTATGATTATTATTTCTATCATCTTTTCTAAATGGTTTATTTTTAGCAACCTCTGCGTATGTTTTACCACCTATCTGTTTATTAATGGTATTATAGAATCTTGGATTGAATCGTTTATAAATCGGTCTGAATTTATCTAATCTATCTACGTTTTTCTCTTTAATTTTGTTATCCTTTAATTTTTGTGGACAGTTGATAACCAAATGGTCTGTAGCAGAACAACAGTGACACATTTTGGTTTGTATATCAACAATTCTAATATTGAATTCTCCAAATTTCCAGGAAACATTTAAGGAGTTTCTACATGTTTCGTGATCTTCAAACGAGACAATTGCTTCATTTTTCTGTCTATATGTTCTTGTTCTTGGGATATAACATATTCTCGCTCCAATTTTTTCTACATGAGGCCATAACTCACGTGCTGTTATACCATTGGGTAGACCGATAATTCTGGTTACATGTTCTCCTCTAGATTTGAGATTATCAGCTGTTTGATCTATTTGTGTAACCCTCAAGGAGTCTTCTCCAATTATAATACTCCATTTTTCCATGACTTTTTTTGCATCTTCTTTTTCTTTAAAAATAGCAACTGCAGATTGTCACATGTTATTGACTCTCATAGTTAGTCTTTCTATTTCACCATATTTGTTTTCTAGGTCTTCTTTGAGTTCTTTATTTTTCATTCTTAACGGCACGTCCCACAGTTTCACACCATGCATTAGCTCCTTAACTGAATTTCTTCTGAAAATTTCAGCCCTATGCATGTAGGTAGGCTTTCCACATCACATTACTTGCCCTTTTCCATTTCTTCTTCATTGTCATATAATGCAGAAATCATTCTATTGTCCTTGAATACTTCAGTTTTTACCAGGACAACTGCTGTTTCTTTTTTTAAAATTTTTCTAACTTTTTCTACTTTTTCACTGATATTTTTCCCCATGATTTTTTCCTGCGTAGGTCCAGATTTTATATTTTTTTGCGTTGAAGTTACTGCGCCATTCAGACTAGTAGTCGTTTTCTGTTTGGTATAAGTTGATTAATTCAGTTTCTTCTTTTTCTTCATTATTTTCTTTATTATTATTTTTGTTGATACTTTCATATTTTGTTTTTCCTTTATTATTAGTTACTCTTCTCCACCCTTGATCATTATTTTCTTTCCCATTTACAATGTCTTCTTGTAATTCGTTATTTCCACTTTCGATTTCTTCCATAACTTCTATGTTCGTATTGACGTTATCTTCTACTATTTTTTCATTTGTTAATATTACTATCTGTGAATTTATCTTACTTCCTGAAGCTTCAGCATTTGTTTCTTCCATTGGCATATTAATTCTCTTGTTGTTGCTTTTCTTGTCTGGTTTTGCCTTTTTTATTGTTAGGTTAAATTTAACTTCGCCAATAATGTTTGGTTTCAGAACTGAGTTGTCCTTGCTTTTTTTGACCCTGGTATTTGAGCTAACGCTCATATTATTGAGTATGTCCGTTTATTATTAAAGGACAAATGAATGAAATTTGGATAAAATAAAATAAAAATAAAAATTTAAAAACTATTTTCGATAAAAGAATTTTTACTGCGGTTTTGTTGCAAAATTATTTGTTTCGGAAAGAGTTTTTTTTTTTTTTTTATTTTTTTTTAATAATAAATAAATAATAAAATAAATAAAATATAAATATACATATAAATTCTATTTACCAGTAGCAACTATATATACATTACCATCAGTGGTTAGATAATATGATTTAATTTTTTTTTCTGCAGATCTTATTACTCTTTTAATTGTAAAATTTGAATTGACTTCAATTTCT